TGTTTCTTTTCTTTTTTCTCCAAGAACTGCTGTAATCTCTCTTCTTGTTTTTTCTCGTTCTTCTTGTTTCTTTTCTTTTTTCTCCAAGAACTGCTGTAATCTCTCTTCTTGTTTTTTCTCGTTCTTCTTGTTTCTTTTCTTTTTCCTCCAACAACTGCTGTAATCTCTCTTCTTGTTTTTTTCTCGTTATTCTTGTTTGTTTTGCTGTTCTTGTATTGCTGCCATCAAACCTGCTAAGCTGTAGTTTGATTTGCCACCTCTCGTTTCCATCTTCTTCTTCTTTTTTTCTTCTCATTTTTATTTTCCATCTCACTTCTGTTACCAATTTGTTAGATATGTGTTCGTTTGTTAATTTTCCGTAAAAATTATTTCTGAAGAAACTTTAGCGATACAAGTCCTTTCTTAAATAAAACTAGTTTATTCTTTCTCAATACAACTTTGCAGTACACTTAATTTCCACAGTCACGCTATAACTTAAACAAACGATTCACGCGCTTGACTCAATTGTCCGTCTCTATCTCTGTTTGCAATTGAATTCCCATCTTGCCGTCATTTCTTGGCGGTCTTATATACAAGAATACTGCACATCTACTAAACACTCAAGCATTCACGAACCTTCGAGAATATCATGACGTGTTACTAGTGTCACGTGACTCCCGCTGTCGTAACAATACATAAAATGTTAGATTGCTTACACTTATGAATATTAGTTTTGTTTAGCGTACGTAATAATTTTTACATGCGTGTGAGCATATTGTTGTATACATTTTTAAGTTAAATAGTTCTTATGAATTTGAATTAGACTTATAAGAGATTGAATTAGTAGCTTACTTAGTTTTGTATTGTAATTATACTGTTGCATCAACGAGGTCACGTGACTAGTATCACGCCACGTCTTTCTAGAAATATCCTGTTTCTTCGTGAATTGTCGGGAGATTACTAGATTGGGGGAAGTAAGGTATATATAAGACCGGCCACGAAGCGACGGGAGGGTAATGAGTAATTGAATGTATGCGGATAAAATATTGTTGGTCACGTGAGACGTGAGTTATAGCGTTGTTATAGAACGACTGTTGAAATTAAGTGTATCGTAAAGTTATATTCAGAAAGAACAAACCAGTTTTATTTAAGAAAGGACTTGTGTCGCTAAAGTTTCGTCGGAACGAATTTACGGAAAATTAACTAACGAACAGAGACGTAACAATGCCTTTAAACTTTCATACCTAATAACTAATCTAATAGTTGCAAATCACTGATTTATTATTGACTGATGACAAAGTGATATAATTGGTTTTCACTCTTGTTCTCATCCAAAACTTTCAGGTTATCTTAAAATCAAGAAAACAATCGAATATAGTGACATGATATAAGTCTGTAATTATTCTCTTTTTTTTTCTAATGAGAAATTATAATAATCGCAGTTCGTTATTTTTATTTCAATAGTTCTATGAAAACTATAGCTTAAAAAGTGACATAGATTAAGTTAGGCATATCCCTTTTTGCTTTTCTCTGACTATCGTTTGCTTTCATCAACTAGACCAATGCCTATATCATATAGATTTTATATTTATTTGTTTTATATTTTTTTATAAAACAAATAAATCTGAGCAAACAATAAATGAATGACGTCACAAATTTAGAATGCCACTAATATTCATAATAAACATATGATTTGGATCAATTCAAGGCCAATTTAGTTGACTGAGGGAAGTTGCTTAAAGTAGTTGAAAGTTATTGGTACATAATCCAGGTTGAATTAAAACAAAAATTAATAAAATGGAATTAGATTATTATGGAATATTAGGAGTAACACGTGCAGCGACAGACAGTGATATTAAAAAAGCGTAAGTGCTTGTTGATCGTACAATGATTACAACTTATTTTAATTGTAAGCGTAATTTTTAGGCTAAATTTAAATTCAATTATAATTTATAGATAATGAAACTAATATTATTACTAATAAAGAGAGCGAGCTTAGCCTAAAACGAAATAACTAGTAGACAAAGTTTGTATTAATGAATTTAAAAGACCATAGTAAATTTAATAGGCCTAGAAAGTTAACGTGTTTTTTTTTTCTTCTAACATTATATTAGAAGAATCAGAAGTCCCGAAAAAATAGAGGTTGTTGATGCTGACTCGAAATCGAATCTCACAGTAGGCCTAACTGTTTGTGAGAAATCATTTCATAAGTTTATATTTGTTTAGGATGATAATGTCTAAAAACAAACATATTCACTAAATATTTCGTATTAG